AATGCAATAGTTTTTATATATATAGTATCAGGCTTGTAAACAGTATACATTTCTGTAGTCGTTTAATTCAATAATGCTATACCCAGCTTTTAATACCAAATATGTTCAAATATTGAATTATAGGTGAAAGAGTCTAGCACCATGTAAGATGAGTATGATACTATGACTGCATACAAACAAAAATTATTGCTGATAAGCAGGTATAGAAAAGTTCTATCTTAACTGTCACAATAATACCGGTTTCTAAGCTAATATGAAGCAAGAGGTTATAATGAGAATTTCTTAAAAGTAATATAATATTACATGTATTTTCACAGAGTCCATAGATTTTTAACGTGTTTACCTACCATAAATGATTAGAACAATGGTGGTCTTTAAATAACTATCAGTATACTAGTATGACAAATGCCCATAATAATTATTCAAAGGAATCCAGTATCAATCGAAGCATACGTTTTCATATAGCTTTCTTCTTGGCCCATCAAGTACACCTCTCCTCGTCTTTGACGTACAGCACTAAGGTGGAGAATATAACTCTATATCGAATGTAAGAATTGAATGCAGTCATCCTGTTAGTGTACTTTTGGGTTTTATCTAATGTATTATGCCATCACCATAATCCTGTTCCTATAAAAATACAAAACAAGGTTTAACTTTAAAAATCACCTCATAATATTTACTCTGATAATTATTTGTCATCGAAGGCATATCTAAGTATAATCTCACATATTAAATATGGTTATGTGTATCACTCTTAAAATTCATTATCCCGATCTATTCAATTCTCACTATTTTCAATGATTTGATTATAAAACTCCTAATTCTTTCACAAATAATGTCAAAACACTTTAAGGTATTGATATATAAAATTTGTTCTTTGCAAATACATGCATCCCAGCAAGGTTAGCCTAATATCAACAGATATTAATGTAACCTTGATGAATATAATACTAGTTTGTATAAAAAATACAATTGAATGAGAGTATGAAACAGTGAATCCAAGCACTACAGACTTGAAACGATGGACATTGAAGTAATTACCATCAATAACGTTTATATGAGAAATATAATTGAATTGAAATATAAAGTGCTGTATTCAAGCACTACAGACTTGAATCGAAGATAATGTAAACTCTTTTTGGCAACTTTATGAGCATCATAATAGCAATAAGTAGTTATCTTCGGTTTTGAGTATTGAGGTTCCAATCAACATACGCCTTTTGAATCTAACCTAACCTAAAACTCAACACATTCAGCGCAGTATAATAGCTACAAAATCCGTGATAAAAAGTGAGATAACAATCAAATCATAGGGTTTGAATTGGTCAACTGGACCCATTTAACCTAACCTCAATGTGATATGTATGGGTATCGCTGATAGGAATTTCATCATTTCTGATCTCAACTAAAAATTATTATTTGTGTTTAAAGAATTTTGTTAATAACAACATTGTAAGAAATTAATTAAAATATACTCACTTATATATTTATTAATTTTTTAATCAACAATAAATATTCTAAAATATTTTTGTTTATTAGATGAAATCTTAATTCAAGCAATTTTATTATTGAATTTATAAAACAACGAGTTAAGGTAAATTTATTTATTTACTTTAAACTTATTTACAAACACAAAAATATTTCTTTTATATTTTTGCAAAAATCGTGATTTATTATTTAATTTATTCACAACTAAAACCAAACCAAAAAACCCATCATTTGTTTTAAAAATATATGAAATATTGTGGAGCGAACCCCAGAAGATGGGAATTAATGCTTGTGTTTACATTCTGTTGAGAGCTTATTGAATAAATGCTTTGTTTAAATTTTCGTAATTTTCATTTATTGAATATTTTATTTCATACACCAAATGCCGCAAGTAAATAATATAAATTCAAGCGAAAAAATTAAATTTAAAATTGTGGAAATGCAACGCGAATATGTAAATATTGTTGAAGCTTGCAACACATAATCACATGAAAATATTCACTAAATATGCTAAAATTCTAAACAAATGCATTTACTTTCATCCATAACATCCATAATATTCACACATCTATGAGCCATATCCGCAGGTTCCTTAACGCAATCTAAATAAAATTAGTTTGAACTTGAATTAAATAATGTGGTTAATAATATTAATAGCTCAGATGTGATATTTAACTTTCCCATTTAAATCACAAATCGATTTAACAACCTCTATAAATCTCCGTTTCAACCACTTAAAAACGAGAATTCCTACACCATCATTTTCTATAATTGCCTTTTAGTCCTCAACCAGTCATCGTTTCTGCCAGTTTAAAAGATAATTGATACACACTCATAAACAATTTATACTTTATACACGCATGTATAGAACACCTACTAACAATCTCCATTTCTACCAGTTGGAACCGATAATCGATACACAATCATTTGCTTTGATTATCTTTTTTTCATGCATAGATAGAACATCTCTTATCTGTAGGCATTCTTACCGGATAATACCAAGAATTGATATACAATCATTTGCTTTCATTACCTTTTTTTAACATATAGATAGAACACTCCCATGTTGTATCTTATACATCCCATGAACAGCCCCTAAAAGTCACAGTTCTCAACATATAGAATAGATAACTAATACGATCTCGGTTCTAACTGACAATCATACGATTAGCTATTTCCTCGACGTCGATTAAACATCCACTTTTAGTCACTATTTCTATTAGTTAAAGACGACAATTGTTAAACGTTATCATCTGCGAGAAATCACTTTATTCACACATATATAGAACGTAGCCTATTAGTCCCCATTCTTACTAGTTTAAAACAAAAATTGATACACAATCATTATATATGGCAGAACCTTTTATCTACTCTTAGTGAGAACATTGCTTACTGGTCACAGTTACTATCAGTGAAAATAATGAATTGATACACTCTCATTTTTCAAAACAATGTACTATGTCCAAGTAAAGCTCATTATTTGCGGCAGCCCAAAAGGTGTAAATCAATTCTCAGCATAACAAACAGATTGAAAATGATGTGTCCCATATACTCCAAAACTATAGCTTCTGACTATATCTACAGGAGTAAAGGGAAAGTATCTAAAAAAATATCGATTTTGATGGAATAAGAGAGTATAGAATCACACAAAGCTAAGCTAAAGTAAATTCAATGTATTATGTTTGGTAAAGCTCAAGAAAGAGAATGCCAAGCGCATTTAGATCCGGATTCTATTGCATCCTTTAATTCTTAAACTGCTAGCTAATAAATTAGATAATGAGTATGTAAAGAGTTCAGTTAATTTTTGGCAATAACAGTTGAAGGCACAATCTCCATATGTGATCGCATATTAAAGCACATGAACCTAATATATCCTTTTGTACTTTAATCCATAGCTAAGTCTATAGTAGAAAAATGTTTTACTCTGATAAATCCACATATACCATCTATGAAGAATCCATATAATTTTAAATCATCTCTTTGCTATGTGATCATTCCAATCCCCAGATTTTTAGTTTAGTTTACGATTGAATAGAAAAGATAAGTATAAGGATCCATGATAAAGAAGATAAGATAATTTCGCTCAATATGAAATTTTTTGTCTTTCTGGTATCACTTAGTTTACGTTAGTTATAAATTAGGATGTATAATTAAAGTTACCAAGCTGTTTGAGTACCCTTAAATCATTGTCTGTCATATTTGTATAATGCCCTTATATACCACTACTTTTGTAACTGATCTTTTCACTGTATATTCCAGCATTAAACTCTTCTATCTGATTTGGTACAATGTTAATGAAAAATGTATATCGTTTCTGTTTCTTCGCCAGTTACAGAGTCAGGCACCTTTATTGCATTACTTAAGCCATGTCACGGAGAAACTATGAATGGAAATTGAATAAGAAGATAATTGTAGCCCCTTCTACATAACCCAAGTATTGTTTAGTGGTATCTTGATTTTGAAATTCATGTTAAAAATCTGCACAACAATCTTACACTCACATCGCATTTACCCTTTTACAGACACCAGCGTTTGTTTCTCTTTCTTTAATCCAATAGAGATTGAATGCGGTCTCATTTCTGAGCAATAATCACTGATTCGTGCTATATCAGATCGTACTTCTATATATATATATATTATATATATATATATATATTTGATAAACAATCATTTTATATATATATATATATATATATATATATATACTTTATCTATATAAATATAACAGAACCGGTTGTCAGTATTAGCCGAGCAATTTGATGTAAACAACATATATTCCTAATCTTGATCTGATTATTCTCTTAAGGTTATATCCACTTCTTAAGGTAAGTGAATTAGGCTGGTCTGTTGGGTCTGACAGTCATAAGTTTAGGTTCAAAATAGTGACATAAATTAACAATTGCAAACTAGGGAACCATGTTAGAAGATTGAATCTCTCTTTCAATCATACCTGTCGTAGCTGTGAGGAAAACGATTAGGGTGCCTCTCAGTCTTTGTTAGCTACTCTGTCTTTGCCCAGCCCCCTTTCTTGAGGAAGACCTGTAATCTTTAAGAAGACCTGCTACTAAATAGCATTTTGAGCTTTGCTAAAGGTTCTAAGTGGTTTTAAACACTGACTTTTCGTCTATATACGGTAACGCAATTGGCTCGTAGGCCTAAATGGATCATCTACGGATCGCCCGTCTAACCTTACCTAACATAACTTAGCAATAGTATAGTATTGTTAATTGTATTGTTAATGGAGTATCGTTAAAACAGACATTGTATTTGATATAAATTTCAATGTATAAAATAAATAAATAATTATTTTGATTTTTAAGTCCGCTTAATGAAATCAAAGTTTGACATACACAAAATTCACTTAAAATAGAAATGTAAATGCATTTTGATATTGAATGCAACAACATTGCTTTTATTATTAAGTAATCTTATTTAGAAACAATAACAATAAGGATAACATAACATTTTCAAATATTTTTAACTGATTTTTTGTATCAAAAATTTATTTACAGTTTGATGTGGAATACTCATCGCATTACCCGCACATATGCCATTGTGAACAACCCGGTTTCGGTGCTAATTTAAAAAATAAATCAACACAAGAAGCTAAAACCAAAATTTTATTGGCAGTGTCGTTATGTTGCATTTTTATGGTGAGTCTCTTAAAAGCTATCTAACCACTTCCAGAACCTAATACACGCAGAGATAAACCTACATTATCCAGAATACATGCATACATACTCATACACGCATACACAGATTTCGAAAAGCAAAAATTATTCACTATCTGTGCACTTCCTGCACTTGAATAATTAAAAAATTATTCGCTTGGTTCGCTGTTCCATGGAAACTAAAACTAAGTTCCTATTTTGCATTCTATATTTTGTGCAGATTATTGAATTCCTTGGCGGTTATTTGGCCGGAAGCTTAGCTATAATGACGGATGCTGCACATTTGGCATCCGATTGCATTAGTTTCGTTATTGGTTTGGTTGCGATATGGCTGGGCGGCAGACCGCCAGATAGTCGCATGTCGTTTGGCTATAAGCGCATGGGTAAGTTATGAGCTCCAAAACGCAAATCACTGCAACCATTCAGCGCCTAAAAGCGCCCATTTACATTATTTATTCAGTTGTGAGTAAGTGACTTGGGTTATGAACTTATGAGATTTTCAATTGTTGCATAAATCGCATTATTGTGGCTTAATTGTTGATTTTATTGACGATTTCGTGTTTACCCTTTGTTCTGACTCAATCGAATGTGTTCAGAGTTTAAACGGACATCCAATAAATCAAAAAAAAAAAAAACATATTAAATCAAATGAACTTTAAAATATTTGATATCAAAGCAATCAAAATATAATTTTTGTTTAATGAAGTAATTTAGATAAATTTTTCTTTTATCTAAATACTATAATTATCTTAAATTTTTTGATAATTATAGATAAGAGGAAAATAAAGATTATTTAAAGCCTTCAATTTTTGAGGTCTTTTATTGCTCAACATAAAATTTTGGTTTCAATAATTAAAATAAAAACATTTGGGATTGTATCTAAGTTAAAAATAAAGCAAAAATATAAATGTAATTGTTCAGTTATTGTACAAATATATTAGCAATTTATCACGTATGGACTATGTAGTCGAACGACTCACACATTTCGAAAAATGCAACAGACATAATGTTAACATTCAACGCCTTTTAAGCGTGGGTCACCAAAAAGTTATCAAATACAATAATGTAACACAAAAACAGTTAAGATTATAAAACTATTTGAGGTAGAATAATGCTGAGAATGTTTGAGATTGCATAAGGAAAATGACGCCATACTATGAATATCAAATATGCAACCCATTAATAACTAATAGATTCGATCCATTGTAGTAACTAGGTTTTATCACTTTGAGCCAGAATGGTTTCATCTAGCACCTATTACGCCTTGACTGAATTATTGTTTATCACTTTATCAGACTAAGCAATAATTGACCTCAGATCTGCATACCTCCCCGAGGAGCCTGTAACCATTCTGAGATTTGATAACGCGGTGTTGGTAAGTCTGTCAGTTTTCGCAAATAATTTCAGGCTCTATCCTTTATGTATTTTTTGATAGGATCAATCTTGATGTCCCTGAGAATATCATTCGTCCTAATGTAGCATGGAACTTTGAAAAATCTTCTCAGAGCCTGGCTTTGTGCAATTTCTAGCTGGCGAATAGTAATGTTTGACGCTTTACTAAATGGTACACAACCATATAGAAGTGACGGACGAATTTTTTGGTTATACATAAGTTTCTTGTTCTTAGCATTGAGATTTTCGTTCCTGAATAGCGGTTGGAGGCGATAAGGAATTTTAGCACAGCTAATTTAATTTAGATATAGTTCTTACTATCTTCTTTTGAAAGAAGAACATAAAAAACACTTGGGTTGAAAAAGCACTGTTAATTTTTAGGAGGACAGCTTTCGTTTACAAAAGTTTGTTAGGCTTGACTTCATAATGTTTATATTCTTATGCAAACTCGAAAGATCAATGATTTCTTATAAACATATCACTGCGACCAGCAGTCAAGTATATATGAGTCCCATATAACTCATATATTAAAGCTGAATCAACTTTCGTGTTTCCGCTTATCACAATATCATATTCGTAAATATTACTCAGTCCTTGAGCACATAAAATAAAATACTTTAATTATACAATGTGAGCAAAACATTTAACAATATTTAATCAAGAATAATGCATTAATAATTTGTGTACTTTCAAACATTTGGACTGAAGACCATTGAGTCATAACCCCACATGCTTCTTTGTAAACAATTGAAATAAATTAAAAAATTTCTTAAAATTAAAGTGCGCTAAAAATGTATATTTTTATATTAGCAAAATATAAATTCTTAAATAATTTGTTATGATAATATATATTATTTATGCTACTAAACCCCTAAACCCACTCACATATTTATATTTATAAACAAATAAGAATTTTTTCAATTATTATTAACCCAAGTCGCTTAAGTTAGTTGAGAAAAGATTTTAAAATTTATTTTTATTTAAAAAATATTGTATTATTTAATTTAAACAAATTTCTTAAATTTATTTTAATTTCATTTTTACCGCTGGTCTAACAAATAATAAAACCAATAAACATAACAATACGCAGAGGTCATGGGCGCAATTGTATCAATTGTGAGCATTTGGATACTGACCACCACGCTGGTCATGGTGGCCATCGAAAGAATTCTCTCCAATGATTTCGATTTGAATGCAAATACTATGATGACAATATCCGGCATTGGAATTTTAATTAATATTGTGTAAGTACCACGGATACTGTGTTCCGTGACAACCGTGAGAATAACAATAAAACTGCGAATAGCAAAGCCAAATAAATCTAGCAACTTGGGTAGTCGCTTGACGTGGAGAACACCCAGAAAGAACCTACAAAAAAAAAACAAATAAATAAAAAACAATTAAGTTAAATAAAATATTCAAGTACACGTGCAAAAAATTTAATAAATTTTTATTTATCTCAATAAAAAAAATATTTCTATCTAAATTAATAAATTTTGCATTTAATAAGATTCTGCGCCATATCCGTAGCTTTATAGAATTCGCCTTCTTTCAATTAAGAAATTTTATTAATTGCTTTTTTTTCATTAAATGTTAGCATGGTTTTCATATTGCACGGTGGTGAAATTCTACCTGGTGGTCACGGTCACTCTCACTCCCATGGTCATGGACACGCCCATGGACATGGACATGGACACTCTTTTGAATCAGCCAACTTATCTGGCGTGTCTGAAAGTGCCTTTGAATCAGCAAAAAATTGGTGGGTATACATTTTTTTTCCATTAATTCTATTTTGAATCAAAAATGTAAGGATACAATGTCAGGTTACTTAAATAAATTATGTACATCCTTTGCGATAGATGTTGCGGTTGGTGTTTCAGTTTCATTATCATTAACATTTAAATTTTATTTTACAGAGAATGAGCAAAAAATGTATTGCTTAGAGTATAGGAAAATCAAATTTTTCTTTAAGTGAAATTAAATATCTTATTATATCGAAATTATTACGTTCCAGCTTTTTATTTTGTGTCGGGATCTGAGATTCCAAGTATTACAGTTCCATCTACGAAGTTAATAAAGTTTATGGTATTATTTTTTTTATTTGATATGATCTATATATTTGGGATGTCCAGCAATCTTATTTATTCGAAAACTTCCAAAGTATAATGTCCTAATCCTGCCACGTCTGAACACCTACGTATAAAGTCTTCACCTGTTTCTTTTTCCCATTCTTCCCTACAGTTCCAGCATTGCTGATATGAAGAAATGTCTAAGATTCCGACATGGGTATCTACTGGCCAATGACATATCAGCTCTGCTTCAATTTTAATGCTTCGATCCTGAGTTTATCTAGTGATAGTTTAATTTATACTGATGGATAACACAATTGGAGAACAGTTAAGCAAATGCAAGACTAATTCAACCAAATTAAACGGTATATTGTATTTTTCGGTCTTTTATACTTTAGTTAAGAAAAAACACATAATAAAAAAAAAACAAATTTAAGTGCAATTAAAAAAAATATTAAAAGAGTTGTTATTTTAATATTCTTGCTATACACTCCGACAGTCCTAGTACAATCCTAGTTGAAATTTCCATCTCAATATATTATTGCTTTCCCATATTAGACTAGGGTTTTCACAACTTATCATGATATTTATTGTTAAATAAATTGATATTATTTATGCTAGATAGAGCTGCCAGTTTTCGGAGAGTACATATTAATAAATGTTACCATCCCAAAACTATGGATCTGTGTGAGATGACAGCTCTGGGTAAGATGATGTCATCCAATAGGTGTATTTGGAGTCATTTCCAATAGTAAGGAGATTCAATAAGTTTATTTTTGTTAACTTTGCCATGCCAACAAAGAAACGGTTCTTTACACAATATATATATACGGAACAATATACTTTGATAGATTTTAGGTACTTACTTTTTATTATGGCAACACTCTAAACTTTAAAATTGGCCAACGTTAATATCTTAATATCTCATAAAATCTTAATATCTATATATTAGTTATCTTAATAAGCTATAAAATATAAGAAAATATATAATTTTTCTTCAATATTAAACTTAAAATATATTATATTTTATTTGCGATTATTCCAAATATATAATTTATATATTACATTATGGTAAATATATATTTATTATTATATTATTTTTAAAATAAATTTTATGTGAAATACTACACACCACGACCATATGATTTTTACCCTAGATTACCCTAGATGGTTTTCTATTGTTCCATGTTGCAAATACTAGTCCCATTTGTTCTGGTAATTCTGGTAATGATTTTTACCCTAGATTACCCTAGATGGTTTTCTATTGTTCCATGTTGCAAATACTAGTCCCATTTGTTCTGGTAATTCTTTCACCTGCAGGGACCTGTCAAAAAAGCTGTAATGATTTTAATACTCTCTCTGCTAAATTAATTAATGGTTTGATAAATTTCTTAATTAGTCTTGATTGAACTGTTCAATGGTTTTTAAATCATGAGTTTTCCAATTTTTTGAGTTTGTTACTAAATGCCCTCTTGCCAAAGTATAGAATAGCTCAGTTGTAAGATTCGGTATCCAAAAGGAACATATTTCAGTTTGAATTGTCTTACAAAAATATATCGAAATCTTACGATATTTCAAAGTGTTCAAACTGGACTATTCGATTTACTACAATAAACGATACATGTTAGTTAGGATAGACTAAAGTGCCAGTCGGCCTAGTTAACTAACTTTCCTATATACTACAAATCCATTATGATATCTCTGTTCAACTTGAGATCTTAACTATTTTACTTCTTAATTGACATAAAGCTCCCCGTTTGACGAAAAAGCGATTCCTTTTGTACCTACTTATTCTTTAAAAAGTAACTACATATTTATTATAATAAAAAATAAAAAATTTTATATGAACGTTTGTTTCATTTAATGCTATTTTAAATATTAGTTAATATTAAAAATCTCTTATTTATTTATTTTGTATAACAAAATTTACAAAAAAAAAAATATCTGATATCGGAGTTATCAGATATCAAAATTTTACGGAGCTCTTATTACAATGGATCATCTAAATAATCACAAACACAATCGAGTAAAAGTACTTTAAACAATAAAGAAAAATATTTTTTTTTTAATTTATAATAATAATTTTTCGTATCCAATATACATTAAACTTGTTAGATGTATTAGAATACAATGCTATATAATATTTTTTCTCATTTCAGCGACTCTGGAAAAAATCTCAACTTACGGGCTGCGATGATACATGTCATCGGCGACTTAGTTCAAAGTATCGGAGTATTTTTTGCTTCAGTATTAATTAAATTTTTAGTAAGTTCAGTGAAAAATATTTTATCTATATAAATAATATTTTAATTTTTATTAATTTTCCTACAGCCTAATGCGAAAATTGTAGATCCGCTATGTACTCTAGCCTTCTCAATAATTGTTATTTTGACTACAGTACGATTATTTAAAGAATCCATCAATATTATAATGGATGCGGTGCCACAGCATATATCTCTAGATGATCTCGAATCTGATTTTACAAATATCGAGGGCGTGAAGTAAGCACAATTTAAAAAAAGTTGGATATAATTTTTAATAAATTCTTCATACTCTCTTTAGATCTCTACATCATTTGCATGTATGGAATCACACCTCCAACCATGCCGTACTGACGGTTCATTTAGTCATAGGTGAGCGTGAGTTGTAATTCATTTTATTAATTTTTCTATAATAAAATATGATAAACAATTTCGCTTTCATTTGTTTATTAGACTTATTAACTGATAGCAACACAGTATTGAAGACGGCGACGCAATTAGCTGAAAGCAACAAATACAACATCAAGCATTGTACAATCCAAATTGAACGCTTGACATCGTAAAATTTATTTAATTAACGTTCCCCGAGCAGCATATACGTAGCTGGATGACTATTATTTTTTTATTTTTTTATTTTTTGTTTTATTTTTTATATTAATTTTTTACTGCCAAAGACTGAAAGCTATAAGAAAGCATTTTGCTAATTTAATTTAAGTGTCAAATGGCTTATTACGGATACCGTTGCCTTTTAAAGTGCAAATTCTGCTTTGAAAGACAATAAAAATAGTCAATAAATATTTTTATATTTTTTATTGAAGCCAAAAAATTAAAATAAATTCTTTATTGTCGAGATAAAGCTAAGTACACATTCGATAAATCTTTATAGCGATTTTATGAGGTGCTAGCATTCTGAGAGCAATTTTAATAGTTAATAAATATAAATTTAAGATAATCAAAAACTATACGATAAAATAAATAAATCGCCAAAAAGTATGCTAAACTATAAAAAATTAGTTTTATTAATTTTTAGAAACTGTAGTATTAAGTTTTGATATTCGCAAAGAACTTACCTCCCTAACGTAGTAAAATGGATGTTCAGTGTAACTCACTTGTAGCCAAAAAAACGTTCAAATTAGAATTGACTTATTACAATAAATCGAAGTATCACTATTTTCGAATATTAGTCTTCAAGTAGGACTAATTGATTTATTATAATAAATGTCATATAGGTAAGATTAGATTAATGTGGCAGTCGGTCTAGTTGACTAATTCGATGAAACCCTACAGGTTTATTGTAATCTCCTTATTTCACATGAGACCTTACATTCTTATTTCACATGCGACATTACTTATTTTATTTATTAAACAAATTTAATAAATATTTCACTGATTTCGGCATTTTCAATGTTTGTTTTGAATAGATTTTGATATTTGTTTTCGAATTTTTCTATGATAGTAAAAAATCTACGATATTAAGACATTTGCAAATTTAAAATTAATCCCGACTAAAACGAGGCTAACTTTTGTATGGAAAATCTTTGATTAAACAACTAGATTAGTACTTTAATCTCGATGATTCCTTTAAACTATTGTTAATCTCACAATGTAAACACAGTATGAGTCAAAAAATACGATCCTTTAAAAACTTTGAAGCAGTAAGGATTATGTCAAATAATGGATATGCTAAACAATATTTTTCAGATAATATTAGGCAGTATATATCGAATCTTTAAAATCCTAAAAAGAGCATAGGGCCGTTTATTCAGTTTATTATTAATAATCTATATTATCAGTGGGGTAAAGTAGTCTATACACAGCACATAAGCCTAATGATAGCTATTCTGTGATTGACAAAAAGATGTTAGGTGTCGTTACAATATTATACTTATACTTATAATGTAGTTTACTGAGACAATGGTTCTTTTTATTTGGCACTACAGTTCAGTTTGAAACTTGACCCCCCACACGACCTGCCTCCATCTGCCCCGATCTTGTGCTACTTCTGCCTAGACAATGGTTTTAATACTAAGACTTAAGATTAAGATTTTAAAAACGGGTTGAAAACTTGACACTTCATTGCATCCTTTGACGTTTATTCTGACATACTCACTTTAGTTTCATAGACGAGTAGCAGTTAAGAACGCCATTATGTCCTTTGAAGAGATGTTGCTTAATTCCGTTATAAGTGGATAGGCAGTGGATAAGTACCAAAGTCTAAGTCTGACACAGTGACACATTAATTATATTTAAAGTATATTTACAAAAAGTAGCGGTGTTATTATATTATTTTGACCACTCAGAATTCATGCATTTTTTCTCTTATGCGTTTTGGCTGTTTAATACATTTTAGCTCACCTTACACAGATTTATTTGTTATTTTTCTATTATTTATAGATATTTCATCTAACTTGGATTAGTATTTTAATATAATGGAGCAAATATCCGCATACCTACCAACTGTGTTATTCTGGTTAACACTTTCTAAGCATATTAAATACTGAGCCGATAACCATTTTTTAAATATGTTATGATGTGGTTAACTATTTTATTCAGTAATTTTAACGCTCTATCATTTATATAAATTTTAATGAGAACTACGCAGAAATCCCTTGTAATGTTTTTGAAACTAACGTACCACAGTGCATTACTTAATCCGCTTTGCAGTGTTCGTGGGATGTAAGAGCCTCAGGAACATAACAATAATAACAGTTTCATTTTATTTATACCAAATTGCTATTAAAAGTAATAATTTAATTTAAATATCTTAATGCAGCACTTAAGACAACACTTAATAACAAATTAACTGATTACTTAAAATAATATTTTCGTTTATAATGAGAAATTCTTAAAATTTGACTTAATTTATATTGCTTAACGCGAAATTAAGAATATAAACGCAAATTGCTTATATTTACTTTAGTGTTAAGTGAAATATTTTAATTCCACAACCACACTGAAATCTTAACATTGAAAATAAATTTTCATCTGGCAGAAAGAATATTTTTTGAGCCAATTAAAAGGGGAAATGCACGAAATAATCTGGTAAATAATAAGGAAGCATACTTTCGAGCGCAGATATACGAGCAATGTGCAAACCGGAAATTATACAAAACATTTTAAATACTTTTCGACTACTAATTACTTGCTTTAACCAGCGAGGCAAGATTCGTTGGAAAAGTTAAAAAAATTAATGCAGTAACTGAAGGATTTTAAATACTTTCCCATTGCAACTTTATGTGAAAGAAAATACTTTCCACTTTTAATTGCAATGCATTTAAATGGCTCAACCACAAACAGCAAAAAATACGTTAATATTAATCAGAATTTAAAAATCAAATTAATATATTCAAGTCCACATATACACACACACATATATATATTTTTTGATATTTTAATACTTTTGTAATTACTTTTCCATTTCGTATTTTGTATTTTACTTTAAAATCATAACTGCAAAGTAACACAAACGAAATTACTGCTTGCATAAACCAAAAGAAATATCCTTGGGTCAAATTTCTACCGTAACGATGAAATGCATGACTTAACCGCTACTGTAGTTAAAAGCAAGTATACATACATTTTAAATACTCTTTTATATACATACATATATATATATATATATAAAATGTATATAAACACATTAAAAAATGCATGTAAGTGTGGTTGCCGCCGTTGCAACTGCAACTGCAACTGTTAAGGTGAAACTTATGCAACATTAACGCTTGAGTAAATTTAAAAATATTAAAATTGCATTCGCGTATTGCAATTAATTACAAAACACTTCTGTATCAGGATCAGCAACAGCTTCAGAGAAACACCAGAACACCAGAACAACGGCAGGCAGTAGCGACAATTGCAGCAGCAACAGTCTTAACTCGCTGGCATGACAGCTCATACCAGCTCACACCAGCTCACACCAACTCACACCAGCTCATGCCAGCTCACACCAGCGAGTTGCATGAGCTCAGCAGTAGGAAAATCAGCTTCATGAACAACTTGACGTTAATTGCAAAATGCGAGTCCTTATCAAGGATGAAGTTACAATTGCAATGAATTATTGAATTTCTACGAAACGCATACATACGTCCAATTTCTCCATACTTATCCATATACATACACACACATAATATCTTTACAAAATCAATGTAAAATGCACTTGTGGGTTACTTTTACAGCACTTTTTTTTTTGACGATGGTTTGTTATTTCATATATATTTAACATATTAAAATTTTTTTTGTATAATATTTTGTATGTTTATGCATATACATATATTATGCAACATTTTGCGTTGAACAGATTTTAAGTATTTTGTAATTGAAATGTTGAATTTGCCACTTACGCGTACGCATGCATAATGCACATTAATTTTAAAGCACCAATTTATCCTACTAAAGCACACGCACGTGTACCAAACCAGGATAAACACATACATATCAAAATATATCCTTATTAATATTTATTTTTTTTTTTTTTTGTAAAATAAGTTCAAAATTAAATCATGTCTTTTCGCGCTTGACTGCATAAATTAAGGCTATGAAATAATTTTATTAATAATTATGAATAATGTAAACGCAGCGAAATTGCTGATTAAATTTATTTTTAAATTGCACCTTTTATGTAACACAACAAATATTAAATACACACAAACACACAAACCTCACATCTATGCAAACACACACACATACTACATACAGATGAAACATCAAACATTTGAGATAAGCAGGAGAAGTGGAAGTTCCAACTGTATCGCACCTAGTACGCACCTACTGTGTGCGAAGTGCCTAGAAAATGGAAAGAGGTAAGAACTACTGCAGTGCTTACTCGTATAATCACTAAGTTCCAGATTGCTGAAGCAATACGATTGTAGACTCAACAACTTAGAAGTAATGAACTTGACCCACGAACAGACAATTTAGCAAAAATACTTCATAACATACTCTCTTCCGTTGAAATAATCAACTGTGGTGCCGTGTAAATCTATCTGTTCGAACGAGAAGAGATTTATAAAATTTTAAAGTTATTCACCGTTTTCAGCTATCGTTGCTTTAAAACCTCCTTACAAAAAAATATACAAGCATACATACATAAACACATACTTAATTGCATACATACATGTATACATACATACATCCAAATATACATATATAAATATAAATATTTATGTATAAAAAATATTATGTAAAGCAATCGAGCGGTTAAATCGATTGTGTGAAGCTCCAGTCCATTAAAATCACCACGTTTTCTAATGATTAGTCCTCTCGGGACTACCGATTTGGTATTACGTCAACAGACCGCCCAGAGCACAAAGCTCAAATGTCTGTTTTTTATCATCATTAAGTTATATATACAACATTTTCCCGTTTATATGTTTTCATATATCATTAATGCTGTTGGGTTACTACAGCTGTTCTTATTGGGAACGCTCAAGTTCGAAATATCTAAGACGACAGCATTCCATTTGAAATTACTTGATCACATTTTATGTATAATCCTGTTAGGACATGGTAGATGTCCTAAAACCTTATCGAGAAGTTCTCGTTTCTCTTTAAAACGGCCACAATGAAAGATACAGCGTTTTCTTTGATTTAAGCAACATTTTGAGTTATTGTGCATTAGGTTCTGTCAGCTAAAATTGGTGGAGATATTCTAAAAAGCATCCGTGCGAATTCTCAAAACCCCGTTTGATTCGTATGTCTTAAAAAAAATGTTTAAAAAATGTTTACCTAAATATGTGTCTTTTTATTTAGCTTCACTAAATTTAATAAAAAAATTTGTGAAAGAAAAAAAATGTAAAACTGTTTCTAAAAAAATGTATTTTAAGCCCTCTTTTTAAAAATTGATTTCACTTAAAACGAGTCTTTACTAAAAACATTCTTATTAGAAACCGTTTTTATAATCTCTTTCATCTCACTCTCGCAGTTCAACCTACAA